TATATATATATATATATTAAGGCTGGGCAAGTTAACTTGTTATTCTCAATCAATTAACGCCGACAATTATTTTATCTCGTATTAACGCAGTTTTTATTATTATTTTTTTTATTACTGTAAAAGTCTGTTGCTCCCAGGCTTTTATTTGGTAAAGCTAAAAGTACCGGAACCGGAAGTACAGGAACCAAAAAAGAAAAGAAATTGGTGGATAAACAAGCCAACAAACATGGAGAAGGGTACGGCACTTGTACATGGCCATTTTCATTTTAAAGTTCTTTCAGACGGCGCAGTCGACAGAAGCACAGTTATTTGCAATCACTGCAAAGTTGAATTGTCTTATCACCAGAGTACTTCGAGTCTAAAATATCCCCTAAATGCAAAACACACAGTTGATACCAGCAAATCATTTAAAGAAACAGACAGTGGCGCGAGGCTAGTGACGTTAGATGCAGCGTGTGGGAGAAGTATAGATAAACAAAGGCAAGAGAAGCTAACAAAGGCCGATTAGTATACTTACAGACTATTTCCCTGCACAGTAAATCCCAGCAGTGAAGTTTTTTTTTGTGCTTCACCTCACTCTAACAGGGACATTTGGTACTAGACTGGTTATGCTGTTCCCTGATGTTTGTGCTGTTACCTCAGAAATTGCCTGTTTAATGCTATGATTGTGACTCAGGATTTTGTGGGCAGTTTTTCTTTAACTGCTATTGTATAAACAAAATGCTGATGTTAAGTGTTTGCAGAACAAATGTTATTGCACTTTCTTTAATATGGCAGAACATTTAAAATAAAATTGTGCTATACACTACTTTTGAATTCATTATTGTTTTTTTGCGTATAAAAATGTGATTAATCGCAATTAATCAGAGAAATCATGAGATTAATCGCGATTAAAACTTTTAATCGTTGACCAGCCCTAATTTTAACATTTTTTATCTATAATCCTGCTGAAATAAGAAGCTTCCAACTGTTACTTTAAAGTATTTCTGTGAAGAAAAATAAAATTAATATAAATTA